ACAATTCTTGCTCAATCCCTAACCCACAAGCTGCAGAAGCCAGGCAGGGCCCTTGCCTTGCCTTTGGGCGCCTTTAGGGCCAAGAGCCCTTGGAGGAGAGGATCAGTGGTGTTGGCCAATATGTGTTCATTTTCCCAGTAGTCCTCATATTCTGTGTGCAAGACCTGTGGTGGACTCCAGCTACTGGAGACACTCTGGGAAGAGCCCACAGCTTTCATACATTGAAGTCAGGAGCCCACTTAGGTCCTTTATTTGCCCCTTCCATTCCTTTCTGTCTCTTCTCTCTCCAATAATAAGAATGCACAGATAGAGTTTAGGACAGTACTTGGCAGAAAGGGTTATTACCATCTGCATTTCACAGGAGAGTAAATCAGGGCTATCCGGAGGCCCAGACACATTGTATTTTATTGTCATGAAGATGAGTCGAAGAGTGTTTAAATGGCTTGCTCAACATCACTCAGCAAGTGAGTGAGAGTGGAGATTTGCATCACCCACTCAATCAACACTTATTGAGTGCTTGCTATATCCATGTGCTGCTGTAGACACTGGGGTCCAGCAGCGAGCAAAGCTGATCCAAACCAAAGCTCTTGCTGATACTATTAGACCACCCACCTAAGCTATTCACAGTAGCATGAAAGTCATATTACATGATATTGAGTGAAAGAAGAACTTGAAATAAGTCTCTAGGATGGTTAAATAAGCCAGGAAGTCCCTCTTCCAGGTCTCTTTCCACTCAGAATAGAGCTCCCAGGCTCCCTTTTCTGGCCTTGTCTTTACTCCCTCTGGTGTCTCTGACCTGGTTCTAGGTCTTTTGTTTTGCAGCAAGTCTCTTCTCTGTTCTGCCCTTGGCCTAGGAACTTTGACCTCTCTTTGGCTTCTGAAATTTACTTTCACTTGGAATGTTATTTTGGTTCCTATAACTTTGTGCTGTGGTGTTCCTGGCTAGCCTGCCCTGTGCTCCTGTTTGCATGGGGATGCAGGTTTGAATAGTGATAGTATCTGTTCTGCTTATCTTATCTCTGCTAATGAATTCTGTGCTGTGCCTTATATGAGATGCAAGGAAGGGAAGCAAGGGCTCCTTCAGATCAGGCCCTACTTCTCTGCCCCTGTGGCCTGTAGCTCCAGTCTGAGCTATTGGCTCCATGTGGTCAACAGTGAGTGAGTGTCCATGCAGCTGGGAGCCTCTCTCCATCTAGACTTCTTTTCCTGTAGTAGGAACTTGGCATCACCAATCTGGACACTGGTATTGGCCATCTGCTCTGAAGAAAGGCTTCTCTGAAGTTTATCAGGATCTGGATACCATGGGCTGCTTTTCTACCATCTGCTCTTGATTTTTTCCTTCAAAAATACCTTCTCTGGAGGGTTGTGAGAATAGGACCTCCCTACCCTCTGCATCCTCACCAGTGAACTGTTTGCCAAGGCTGGTTTTCACAAAGTAGGTCACCTAAGTGAGGATGCTGAGGTTGGAGAGCAGATAGTGGACGCATAGATCAATAATGAAGTAGTAGCTACTGCCCAAGGCCGGGAGAAGTATTAAGACAGCAGTATAGGAGAAGAGGCAAGAATAAGTGGAGTAGATGGAAACAGCTCCACGGGTGGGTCAAGAAGATGTTTTCAGGAGGTTAAGAAAAAAGCAAATTGCTGTTCGAACAAAGGAAGCTCTCTCCCAATTCAAAGTTAGTGACAGTAAATATCTTTTATTTGCTGTTTTCTATATTTTCTCTTTTTTGTGCCACATGATTAATGTGTACCTTCTTAGCAGAAAATTCATCCATTCATTTATCCTTCCTCCCTCCCTTCCTCCCTTCCTCCCTCCCTTCCTTCCTTTTTTCCTTTCTTCCTTCCTTTCTTCCTTCCTTCCTTCCATCACTTCGTCTATTCATCTATTCATTCACTCACACACTTATCCATCCATCTGTCCTTTAATTCATGCATGTATCCACCACGTATTCATCCACCAAAGATATGTTAAGCATCAGCCATGTGCTTTGGTTGGTGCTGAGTTCTAGAGACAGCACTTAAGGAGCTCAACATTTGTTGAGGGGAACACATTTATGAACTGACAACATGTAGTATATCATGGAAGAGGGTACATCCAGGGTGATGGGGGGCAGTGGAAAGGTCTATTTGTGTCTGGAAAAAGCATTGCTCAAGCTTGTTCTTGTGAACTCGGATGCATTCACCCTTCCAAGCAGACACAAGCAGTCTTGTGGGAGACTGAGGGCTTCCTTTGCCCTTTCTGAGTTATGTTCTGCTTTGTCCTCTTTATTGAATACCTCTCTGTATTCATACATGTGTTAAGTATCTTAATTCATTGTGAATAGAAGTGCTGAAGGGAAAAGGGAAATTCCATTGGGTGCTGGTCTGGGCCACAGCTGAGGTAGTACAGTGGGTTCTGACTAGATATGTGAGTGTGTGTATAGGTGGGACCCTGGGTCAAAGGGTTCCTGCTGGCTAAATAGTATCTGCTATGAGTGGGTAGCTGGGAGATTTATCTCAAAATGAATGTCTTGAGAAGAGAAATCTTCACATTATCAAGGACTCTCAGCTTTGACTTATGCTTTTAGGGAAAAACAAAACAAAACAAAAACAACAACAAAAACAAGTCAATGCTAAATAGATTGCATTCCCTTATAGTACCATCTCTGTTACTGGTTTGTTTTCCAGAGAGGGGGAAGACATGTCAAAACAATTTTGTGGTGGTGAGCGGTCCTGAGGTCTGGGGAGCCGACAGGAACAGGGAGTGAACTGATTTTACTCATTGAGGAAATGGTTCTCCAAGCCTCAAGGGGCTGGGGATGTGATTCTGTTATGGTTCTGTTCCAGGTGGTGGGAATAACCCTTCTCCCCTTTGTCATATAATTGCTGATATACCACAGAACCTGAAGATGGTCAGCCCAGGTACTGATCTACTGCTTCCCCTTGGTGGGAAGCCCTAACTTTAGCACACTCCTACCACCTATGCAACATCTGGCCCATGCCTCACCAACTTCTTACACTTACAACTTGTAGAAGAACCAGTCATGCTGCCCATGGTGGTCAAAGCAAGGACACAGGACAGTAGCAGAAAGGACAGGGCCCTTTAGCCTATGCACAGAGACACCTACAGGGGGAGCAGTCAGCTCTGCTTGGATGTGGCATGCTGGGAATGACCCTTGAGGACTAGCATGAGCAGCTGGATAGGTATGACATGGTAGATGTCTATGATGCCCTGTACCACCTTCCTTTGGTCCATTTCGGACTTTACCTTCAGTTGTAGGGGAGAGCTTTCACCACCTAAGTTCTTGTCTATGGCTCTGCTTTTGGGGCACCTTGACTAAGACACGTGAGGAAATAAAGTTTAGGCAGAGAACAAGGCATGGAGGTGTTCTTGTAGTGTGGAGACATATTGGGGAGGGGTGGGAGGTGAGACTCGGGGAAGAGGGATCCTTCCTGCAGCCCTAGGAGCCTATTTGATCTTCTCAGGAGTCCTGTGAAGCTGACATGGTTTCCTATTTTTATCGGGTGATTTTGTTTTTCTGAAATATTTTTAGCAGATGACTTGCTGCTTATGTGTTCAGAGAATGGTCCCCTTGACCCACTTTGGCTGAGGGTGTCTGTGCAACAGTTATCAGTGGGGGCCACACACCTGAGAAAGGGTGGATGTTACCTCTCCCTCTCCCCCTTCCCTTCTCCGACTCTCCTTTGTGCTCTGATGCCTTCATGGAGGACTGCAGTGGCACGTGAGGGCAACATCCAAGAATAAGGCTGCCCTCTTTCCCTAGAAGTCTCCTGCTGGGCCCTCAAGAGGGTGGGTGCTGGCCTTCCTGCTTATCCAGATTAGGCTCCGTGATATGAATGGTGAGTCAGATCTGCCCAGCCCTGGACATCACAGGCGGGTTGGCCCTTGATGCTGTGGTGCCACACTTCACACTGTTATTCCAGTTTCTCACTCACAGCCTGAATCTCCAGAGCTCTGAGGCGGGAACTTGTCTCCTCTGTGACCCAGTTTTACTACAGACAAACTAAGCAGAGTGGAGGTTCTCAGATGGACACAGATGCAAGTTCCAAACATGTTCCCTTGAATGGCAGTGACTTCACTGCTCAGCAGACATCAGAATCTCCACCTCTTATTCATTTTCCCTGCTGCCATCTGTTTACTCAGGCCACCATTCACCTTAAACCTGTGCAGTAACTAGAGTAGCCTTTCTTTGGCCCAGGTTTGATCACTAGTTTTCTGTGCACAGACACACCAGTAGTGGCAGCCTTCTCCCTAAAGTCACCTTTGTTGCTATTCCTCTTTAACATGTCCCATAAGGCTCTGCATGGCTCCACCCTTGCCTCTTTCCTGATTCTGCCCTGTTTCTTCTCTATGCATTGACACAGTCATCTTGAACTGTTTTCAGTTCCTCTATCCTGAGCCAATGGTGGCCCCTAGGGCAAATCCAGCACATTGCCTCTTTTGGTAAATAACATTTTATTGCTACATGGCTGCACCTGTTAGTTTAAGTATTGTGCATGACTACTTTCAGATTATAACAGAAGAATTGAGCAGTTGCGAAAGAGACCACAAAGCCTAAAAGCTTTACTAATTGGTTCTTTCCCCCAAACTCCGGTGGACCCTGCTCTAACTGGTCCTGCTCCTTGATACCTTCATGCCATTACAAATGTTGTGCCCTTTCTTTGTCATACAATTCTTCTACCCTGAGCTTTCTGCCCATCCTCCCTTCCATCCTTCCTTTCCTGAGCAGATAACTTGCCTGAATGCATGTCTCAGATACTGATAATGAGGGTCGTGTTGATGTATGGATGTGACATACAGGCAAGATCTTATCCTACTCAGAACTCCAGCATTTGGCTGGGTTTTGAGTAAACACCTAGAAGCCAGAAGATCTCAGCATATCTACTAGGCACCACATCTTCGTGTTGGCATCCCATGTCTCCCAAGCTTTCTATGGGTTTCTCCAGTGTTCTCTGAAAATGCACCCATATAAAGGGTTTCACTGCCTCTATCTTCACAGATCTCCAACCTCTACCTGTACGACAGTGTTCTGATGCTGGCCAACGCCTTTCACAGGAAGCTGGAGGACCGGAAGTGGCACAGCATGGCAAGTCTCAACTGCATACGGAAGTCCACAAAGCCTTGGAATGGAGGGAGATCCATGCTGGACACGATTAAAAAGGTGTGTGTAAGGGGGCACCTTCCCTGGGCCAAGACTGAAGACTCCCTCTATTCCCCTACTCTCTTTCCCCTCCAGCAGCTGGACTGAAGCTCAGTTCTATGTAGCTGCCCCAGCAGGACCCTTCCCAGCTTCTTTCCTTGCCACTCTTCCTGTCCCAGCATTTGAAGACTGAATGAGCTGTGGTCCATGGATATGTGCTGTCATTTCTGTCTTCAATTTAATATAAGGACTTCAGATACCTATCCCAAATCTGCCAGATATCTCTCCATACAGGCTGCTACTCTCTTAGAGAAGTGGTCTCAGATGGTACTGCCCTGTCCTGGTCAGCTAGGACCTCAGTGTGTGTGTGTGTGTGTGTGTGTGTGTGTGTGTGTGTGTGTGTGTGTGTGTGTGTGTGTATGTCCATGTGTGCACATGTGCACTTGTGATGCACTCTGCACTTGTAATGTGTTTCATGTGCTGAGAAGTTACACCAAGTTAGAAGACTGGATTTGAAGTGAATTGAGTAATCCATGGAAGACTTGTTAGAGTGAATTGACTTTTAGAGACTTAAAAAGAGCATTTAGGGAAATCTATAGCATTGGGAGTTTAGTCACAATAAATTGCGTGTGGGGTTTCAACAGCGGTGAACATGTTCTGGTGTTGGTATGATATCTACTGCAGCCCAGAATGGAACTGGGGCCCCTCCTGGGCCAGCTCAATCTCTGGGACTTTCTGGGCTCACAGAATCTATGGGAGACAAGTCTGGATGAGATACCCCCTCCCACCCCAGGCTTGGAGAGAGAAGGGGGCTCACTATAGCTCTCTGAGATCCCCACTGCCTGCTGCTTCTATGGAGCCCTCTGAGTCACTAGAGACACAGGGACAGCAGCCAGTCTGTGTCAGATGCCATGCTTTGTACATTTTCTCCTTCAGTTCTTTGGGCTCCATGACGTGGAGCTAATTAACTTTAGGCTGAGTCTGAGTGATAGGCATTGTGCCCAAGGTAGCACAGGTGGCAAGGCCAGGACTTGAGCTGGGTTGGCTTCCAATGCTCATGCTTGCTGCCCTGCAACTCACTACCATGTATCTGATATGGCTCTTGTTGACTTTTGACTTCCCTATTGGGTCAGGCTAAGGTGAGCCCCTGGAGCAAGTTGCTAGGGGAATACTAAGCTTCAGGAGGGTAGGGACAAACATTGTCTCTCTTTAATCTCATGGCTAGCATGGTGCCTGGCACAAAGCAGAAGCTCCACACATAGGAGCTCCACTGCATGAATGACAGGCACAAGCTTTAGGGATCTTCCCTATAAGCAAGTGGCCTGAGAAGTACTGGTTCTGCTGCGAAGTCCTAGGACTACTGTTCATGGCCTCAAGAACCTGGCTGCTCCCTTCTTGATGATTTTCTTCTTCTAAGTCTTTGGGACTCCATCCTCTACCCCAATCATGTTTTCCCCACCTTCCAATGGTTTTTTCTCTTCTCCTGCAGGGCCACATCACTGGTCTCACTGGGGTGATGGAGTTTCGGGAGGACAGCTCCAATCCCTACGTCCAGTTTGAAATCCTTGGCACAACCTATAGTGAGACCTTTGGCAAAGACATGCGCAAGGTAAGCCTCGGATTCCCCACCTCCTAATCCTCCTGTTGTGGTGCCATGGAAGAAAGCAACAGCTGTGGAGCACCTGGTTCCCAGCAATTGTTATCAGGCACAGATATCCCTCTCCCAGGCTCTTTCTGTTGGTGCTGCTGTCGACTGGTGTTTCTAGACCATGCTAGGCAGGAAGCATAGAGAGGGCTCCAAGCAGAAAGTGAGGGCAGTATTCTCTGTGAGTACAGCGGGAGCCCCTGGAACAGCTGGGTCCTACTGCATGGACTAGGAGAGCCTCTGGGAGGGTGGAAAGGACAATGTGTTCTTCAGGGCAGTGAAATCAGCCCAAACACAAGGACAAGTATGAATTGTGGGTGAGGCAGGGTGAGTTGCACAGTGAGGAGGGTAGGGGGTTTTTAGCCAATCCTGTGATGGGCGATAGAGCCATGGGTCTGTCATATAAATAATTGAAGGTTCAATAATTGGTTGTGACACAATGTCCAACACATATGGTTTAATGACATTTTCCAGCTCAGGTTTGTTGATGGCATTCTAAAGGAAATTGGCTGGTGACTATTCTGTGTGCCTCTGGAGGGCCAGGGTGTGACCTTTGATGTCAAGCAAGTCAGGGCTGGTCTATGATGTCAGTTAGGGATGCCTAAAACTGTGAGGCTTGCTGAGGGGATAGGACTGGGTGGTCAGCATTGGTCTGGGTTATGGCCATAAGAGGAAATGATTTGTGTTGGAACTCCTACCTGGTAAGGGGTGTGGGGGTGTGTGGGTATGTGTGGGGGGCTGTGTGGGTGTGTGTGGGGGGGCTGTTATTCTAGTCACTCTTTCATGAATGAGCTTGAAGAGTATAGCTGCCTGTGGAAGCAATCATTCATATCTACATGGTCCTTGAGTACTTGCCTTGATGCCTGAGTGTTCTTCTGAGGTTAGTGACAATGTCCTGCCTGCTAGCTCCTTCAGTACTTCCTACGCATCTTCTTTTAGTGGAAATGACTGTGAGGGTCGCTACCTTGTCCTAGGTAGCTGACTTGAGTCCTGTCCTGTGCAATTCCCATGCCTGGGCCATACTGGCCGCTCCATGTGCCTGAGACGGGGGAGGCACTGTGCCCTTCACTTCTTGTTTCAGGTGTCTGGGCCTTTAGTGTTGCCAAGGCAACACTCCTTAAAACTCTGAAGCCAGTGGCAACTGGAATCTTTCAGTATAAGGAGCTTCCGTGCAGGAGACCTGAATGTAATTGAGTTGGAAGGGAAGCTGATTTTCAAGTGGGCTTTATTTTAAAATGTATCCTTTTGTCATTTTAAAATCTGCCCTTAATAACTGCATATCCCAGTTATCTGTCTGCTTGGCAGCTTATCGCTGTTAAGGAGAAGTTATCTGGAAAGCAGGGAATGGGATTTACTGTAGCAAATGTTTGTTATTCAGGCCCAGGGTGCATTAAAGCAAGTCTGGGAGGTTTCAGATGAAGCAAGGAGAGGGGATTAGGATGGTATCATGGGGGCAGGGCACCAGTGCAGGCAGGGCTGAGTGGTGGTTCCTGGTAGAAGATGGGGCTCTTGGGCATGGGACTGAGAAGTCAGGGCAACTTACAAATAAGGAATCCTCACATAACAGGGGAAATAATTGAGGGTGAGTGACAGATCTGAGGGTAGGTGTCCTGAGCCACACAAAGGTAGTCACAGATCAGCCATCTAAGGAGCCCCTGAGACTGCAGTTCTCTAGGCCATGCATGATTCATAGCTGCTGGAGGAGCAGGCTGGGCAGACTCTAGATGCTGTTATGGAAAGCAAAACCAGACACAGACCAAGTAGTTTCTTTAAGACTTAAACCAAGAGGAATCATTTAAATTAAGGAGCAAATGGATCCTTTCTTAAACTGAATACCCTGGAGAGAAATCTCAGGGAGGGTGAGTCACCCAGATGTTTTAGATTAAGTGGCATCAGGAGACTGTGGATTACTCAGCTCCTTCATTGGAAGGAAGGAGTGGGTGTTTGCCTTGCACTGCAGGGTGCTGGACAAATACTAATTCAATTATCTCATCCAGGAGTGTTGGATGGCAAAATCAAAGGTCTGTGTCACCAGCTTGCTGTGTAACTCTAAGCAAAATATTAATTGTCTGTGTTGTACTTGGAGCTGTCCGTCATGAATCTGCCACCAGGGGCAGGTTTTGCTGGAAAGTCACTTCCAGCTCTTATAGGAATTGGCTTGACATTTGTCTTGGAATGAGGTGTTCTGTGCTTGTTTTTGGAGGTATGTTTTTGCAGGACTCAGTACTGTAACAGGAGCTTTACAAAGTTCTACTGGGCTTTGATCATCTTTACTCAGACAAAGGAGGGTCCCATAAGCTTGTCCATGCAATTGTCCTTGGCTCATGATATGAACTCTGACAGATCCGTCAGAGGTCACCTGTAGTAAAGTTTGCAAAGGTGGGGTGTGTGAGAAGCTGCTTGGTGTAGAACAAGAGGGAGTGGAGCAGGAACTATTGAGCTTCTACTGTGTCTAAAGGCACATTGTTGCCTCATTGATGGATGGACTTTGTGTTGCTCCTGGCTCCACCTCTTCCTCTCTTGAGTTTTTCCACAACTTTCCTTTTCCGAACCTTCATTTCCTCAGATGGAAGTTGCAGATAACTACTTGTTGAACGGAGGGGTCAGTCAGTGTAATGACACTGTAGCACTTGACAGTGAGGACACTCTCATGTGGCATGGGGTATCAGCTGTGGGCTGTATATCTTCTCTGAGCATACCTACCTTAGACCTCAGAAGAGCAAAGAGTCACAGGCAGGCCTAGAACTTAGTCCCCTTTCTCACCATGCCTGGACTGCAACTTCTCATCACTCTGTGTCCAAAGCCAAAGGCCAGAGATGGGAGGCCCCCTTGTGCAACCCTGAGCGGGTGCAGCTGGAACCACTAAGCTCTGTGTGCCAGGTCAATACCAAACTTCCTTTCTGTGTCTGAGAGCGGATGTCCACTCCTTATAAAGACCAAAGGCCGAGGAGAATCAGTGGACTTTCACCTCTGATGAGGCTTTACTTTCACTGTTTCAGTGTTGGTGAGACCAATGAAAGAAAAGAAACATGGTTGTCTTTTTTGTTTTTTTCCCCCCACATTCATGACTTGCCTGGATGGTAGCACCAGTTTACAGCACTGAGGAAAAACATTTCTATGACCTGATTGTCGAGGCTGTCTGCCTTTCTCTATCCTAATAACACTGGCTTTCCCTTCCACTGACTCTGGGTCCCTGGTGCAGCAAACTCTGGGAAAGTTGCCAACTGCTCACAGGCCCTTTGAACCTCATTTTCCACCGAGGCATCTGCCTGATTTATGACTCAGTGGAGGGAACTGGGTCTCCTCATATAGCAGGTTGGGGAAGTGGATGGGAGCATTCAGAAAGCCTGTGGGTTTGCTTTATGCCTTGTATCCCAGGATGAAGGAGTCCTGATGTAGTGCAAGAGAACATGACTGTTTTCTGCTCCTTTCTATAGAGGAGAATCAAATTAGCACCAAGAGAGGCTGAGGAGGTATTTAGCCCAATGGGATTCAAGATTTTTCTGGCCTTAGAAATTCTGACCAGGCAGAATCTTACTGGGACCCAAATATGTTAAACGGTTGCAGATGAACATATGTGGTTGTTGCAGTAGGCAGGAAATTGGGGTGGAAAGTTCAGAGGTTCACTTTACAGTCTCTCCAGTTCCCAGAATCTTTGTGGTGGTTTGTGTGGCTCTATTTGGAACACTGAGACCCAGAGAATGGAGACACATGTAACACCGACTACTATGTGGCTGTGCTGGCGATGGGAGGCAGATTTCCTGAGGTGGAGTGGGGGGAGTTTGTCAGAGAACCCGAGACATCCTTCTGAACTTAAGGCAATGTAGTTCTGTGACTCCCTCCTTACCCTTCAGCTCACTTTCCACTCCAATCTCCTCCCCACCCCCAGCCCCTACTCACAGCCAGCAGTAGGGCATCACAGTCCCTCCCCACTGGCCTGGAGACTGCTTACTTGAAGTTTTCACTACTGCCCTTGGCTCAGCCTTCCTGTTCCAGCAATTTCCCAAGGAAGTGGGAGAGTCTCATTCTCCATTACTAGTTTAAGACGCTTCTTCTATCTTCTGTGTCAATTTTGATTCTTCATAAAAGCTGGCTTTGGATGGGAATCAAACGCCCCTCCTTGATGTCACGTCCCTGGGAGAGCCTTGTAGTTGCTGGTAATTCTTGAGCAATAATTGCTCCTCATGCAGCGATTGCCACACCATAGGACCCTGGTCCTCTCTGAGCTTTAAAGTACATCATTAACATTCTTGCCCAGATCTGCTATACTGTGTTACAGATTGTCCCACATTCTCTGGGTTCAGAAGTTGTAAGAGGTAAGCCAGGTTGAAAGGCAAACTCTGGTAATGAAGCTGCAGCTGCCTTTACCTGGTGGCTCCAGCAGCTGGTGCCAGGAGCCTGGAAGTGGGTGCAGCAGTAAGGAGAGAGTATGGGTGGAGGTGGGGCTGGAAGGATCTGGTCTGGGGATTGTGCAGTGTCTCTATTAAGCTGCTCCCATAGAGACTCCCGGCTGTGCACAGTGAGTCGCAGAAGAGAAGTAAACTTCAGTCCCTTCATGGATTAATATTCTTGCAGCATATTTCACAAGTAAAATGTCAACCGTTCTGAACCCTTGTGCAGGACTGTTTTTGACAGAACTGAGGCCCGAAACAGACACTGAGGTTTCGTCTGAGTTAAAGAGATAAGGGAAAGATGCAATTAAGTATTTCATTTTAAGTAACATTTCATCAATACATGTTCATTTAGGGTAGACTGTTTAGAAAATACAGATAAATGAAAAGAAGAATATAAAAGTCAGCTATAATCTTTAAACCAAGAAATAAATACTGTTAGTATTTCTGGTGCATTTTCTTTTTGCTTTGTTTTTCCTCCCTCCAGAGAGACAGAGATAGTGATACGTGTATTTATCAAATTGCTATTTATTGTAATACATTTTGTATCCTGACTTTCTCACTGAATGCTATATTGGGAGTATCTTCTCACTTCTTTAACTATTCTTTACAACTGTGATTCTTTTAATGAAAACACATTACTTACAGAAAGCCATCATTTTAAAAATTTTCCTATATGATAAATATTTAAGCATTTTCACCATATTATTTAGAAAAGTGCTGTTATGGCAATCCAAAACACATGCAATTTTAATTACATCAATATTTATTTTCTTATTATATTTTTAAAGAAAAGAATTACCAAACCAAGAATAATAATTATTTCAGGCTCTTGATATACATGATATAATTTTCAAATTGATTATAAAAAGGTTTAATAATTTTCATATCCATGAGAAGTATATGGAAATCTATACATCCTATGCTCCAGAAACGGATATATATATCATATATAAATATTTATATGTATAATATATACATATTATATTAATATACAGATATTTTATATGTATATTCTACATATACATATAAAACATTTTTGCTAATTTGGTGGCAGTATGAAAAAAACAATGTGCTAAATTTGTATTTCTTGTGAAATTGTACATTTAAAAATATAATTGTTGGTCATTTGTATTTCACATTTTAAAAATTATACTTCAGATAATTTGCACATTTATAGTAGGGATGAAATTTTTCTTGTAAATGCATATAATCTCTCATTCAGAAGGGACTTGATAGTTGTGTCCAATATTTTGTTCCAGTAAATTGTTTGTCTTAGAATTTAAAAGATATTTTCACAGAGACATTAAAAAATGTATGTGACCAAATAATTAAATTATTCATTTACAATATTTGTTCACATATTTATTTTAGAAACTTGTGGGGGGCCAGCCCCTGCAAAGGGATTTAGAGGGTCCCTGGGAGGTGTGGTGGTGTCAGCGATTATTCTGGAGAAATAAAGAGAAAGAAAGAGAGAGACAGGGGAGAAAGAAAGAGACTGGACTCTGTCTAGTGCAGAAACTGTTTAATGGGATGAACTGTAAGCCTTTTATCCTAAAGTTTCACAGGTTAAATCACAAGACTTTCTCGTGAACACAAAGCCAGGTGGGTGAGGGGCGTTCCCCACCCACCTGGTGTTTCCTAAGGCATGAGGAAGAATAATCCCAATTAAATCACAAAACTTTTACATAAACATAAAGCCAGGTGAATGAGGGACATCCCCCACCTACCAGGTGTTTCCTCAAAAGCAATATAACAATTCTAATATCACAATATTCTAATAATCAATAACTTTTAAAACTTATGCATACACAACACCTAATGACCAACTTAAATCCCAATTTCTCTCTATTTTATGCTAATTTTACCTACACTATAGAAATTCTTAATTATAGCCCAACCAGTTCCTAAGGAATGTGACCCAGCCCAAAGTTTGTGCTGGGCCGTTTCTAGTAACTCTAGGTAATTAACTATATTATTAAGATTGAAACAGCACTTTATATGTATATTCTAATTCTAAAAATATACTTTTAAATCTTATAAAGAAGCTTGTACCATATTAAATGCTCCCAAATGTGACTTGAGTTTGAATTATGTTAAGTTTAAAGCTGAAAACGCAGTCTGTGAGAAATGGGAACAATGGACTCCTGAAGTAAGCCATGCCTGTCGTACTCTCAGAGCTTCATGCTTAGATCATCAAAGTCCCTGCTAGTGGGACATGCCAAACAGCAAAGAAGGGAGGAGGGAATGGGCCATTAGCTCCTGAACTCATCCTAGTGGTCTCAGGGTTCACAACCCGCCTGGATCCCTAATGCTCAGGCGGGCCTTCTTGGCCGGCTCCCAACAGAAACTCATATGCATTTTGCAAAGTAGATATTATTTACTCATACTTTCTATAGTTATTTTTATGATTTGATTTGTTTTTTTCAAAAAAATCTGCCATCTACCTGGGATGAATTTGGGATAAATTGTGACATGATGGTCTAAGCTTCTTTTACGTTTTCTTACTAAATGGTTCCCACTCCAATTTATACAGTTTATACCATCCTTTTCCCATTGACTTGAATATCACATTTTATTATATGCTACACTAAAATTTGCATATTTCCTCATTGATTTAAAAAAATTCTTGGTCTTTTATCCCCCAGTTTAAGTTTAATTCACTTTTGTACATTATTAGAATGTGTTTGTTTGTGGGTAACAAAATGTTCCCAAGTGGATTAAACGATAAGGAAAACTTACTATCTCACATGAAAGAGGTCGGGAACTAGGGTAGCTTCGGTGTTGCCCAATTCAGCCTTTCAGTGCCAAGATCAAAGGCTCAGGTCTTTTTCATCTTTTTATTTGTATATTCTCAGTTAATTTTTATCATAATTTCAGAATGACAGCATACCCAGAAATACAGCAGTAATTAGAAGAGTTATTCTGTTCTTTGTGTCTCCTTCCTATAAGTGAGGAGCCCTCTCCTAGGAGTTAGTCGTGGCTTACTGTTTCAATGTCAAGATTATTTCACTTTTTTGTTATTTCAGTTCAGGCTTTCCTCCTAGATGCATATGTCACATTGACATAATTTCTCTCTCAGATGCTTGTGTTTAGCTTGTGTTTGGCTTGTGTTCTTTTCATAACATGGATAAGGGATGTTCATTTTTTTGTTACTTGTATGAACTGAGCTCTTGGAATTTGAAAACAATTTGATTATAAAATTATCTGGGTTAGTTTCTGGTTTTAGAGCTATTACTTTGATGTCTTGGAGACTTTCCTTGTTTCTACATTTCATTGAGTCATTTTTAGTCATTTACTTCACTGAAAAATTTTCATTTCACTGGCATTTTCAAATTCATTACTCAGAGCT